CTCTGTTTTGTACAAACATAAAACTATACTTCAGAAAGAAAAATTAATTTATAAATAAAAAATACTTTTAATATATCTTTCTTTAAATTCTTTACTGTTTTCTTTCAAGTAAATTCATTAGTTTAATATGTATTACACTTCTTCTTTAAATTGATCATATTCACCCCAATCATCTTCTTCTTTCATTTCATTTTTCCTCTTTTCTATTTCTTTTTCATTTTCTTCTTTTTCAATAGACTCATCAATTGTAATTTTACTCAAATCAATTCCAATTGATTTTAAGTATTCTTTACTTTCTTTTCTATCCCAGAAAGCATCTTCTTTAATTTTCTTCCAGACAGGACCTTCTTTCCCATAAATACAATCCATAATAAAGGTGGTTGTTTCCCAAAACATTTGTTTTGTTATTTCATCTTCTGATTTAATCTTTTCATTAATTAGTAAATTCAAGTACTTATCAACAACTCGTTGCCCAATCAATACATATGGAATTTTTAGAGATGTAGCTACTATTTCATCATTTGTTTTATCAAGCTTTGAATATAACGGATAGATTGTTTCCATCATTTGCTCTTCAATACTATCTCCAACAATCTCACATTGTTCTTTACTTTGTTTAAGTTGCAAACATCGACTTAATGCGCGTTGTCTCCAAACAACCCAAAAGTCATCAGCCCCATAAACAGACATGGTCACGATTAATATTATCAAATTTATAAAATTAATATTCGCCATTATAAAATGATTGAGACTATTCACAGTTCATTCTAAAAAAAAAAAAGAAAAAAACAAAAATCAATAATTTTTTTATTATTTTAAGTAATTTAATATCGTTTTATAAAACAAAATAAAATAATTAAAAAAGTTAAATGATTATTATATAACGGTGAATGACGTTTATTTTGTAATTAATTTAAAAACTAAAATTAACTAAAAGAAATTATGTCTTAAAGAAAAAACTAGTAAAAAGAATAGTATTTAAATAAGAAAATTATAATTTTTTTGATGAATGACTCTTATTGAAGATTTAAAGACTGGTTGAACTGAATTAGTCAAAACAAACATGAACCCAATTAGTGTTGAAGAATACCTTCAAAATATTGAAGAAAATAATAAGAATACAAAAGACGCTTGTATTAGGTACATTACTGAATTTAATAATTCTACATCTTCACTAGAACAATTTATGCAATTCCTTATTCAATCCTTAAATGTTCACGACTATTTGCTAAAGAAACTTTCTGAGAACAACCTTCAATTACAAAACCAAGTCGATGGTTTGAAAAAAGAACTCTCTGAGTTAAAACAAACCACTATACCAAATCCAGGTGCTAGCTCTTCTCTTAGAATACCTCCTCATATAAACAACCCACAACCCAATGTCTTTGCTTCTTATTCTCCTCAAGTGAATTCATCAAACCAACCTTTATTTCCTGAATCCAAACCAATACCTACTTCACAAGTACCAATGCAACCTATCAATCCTGGAAAGCCACTAATGCCTTTACAACCTATCAATCCTGGAAAGCCAATCATGCCTTCTCAACAAGGATTTTCTTCATACGGTCAACCTAAGCCAATTTTTCCTCAACAACCAGCAATGCAACCTATCAATCCTGCAAAGCCAGTAATGCCTTTACAACCAGGATATGCTCCATATGGTCAGCCTAAGCCAATTTCTCCTCAACCAGTAGTACCAATGAAACCAAGTCATTCAATGGAACCAACACCAAATAATACTAATGTCTGATGAATTAACCGATGACTAAGCTTTATTTCATTGAATCTTTTATCTTCATATTTGGTTTAGATATGGTAAATGTAATGGTTATTTCCTTTTTTTGGGATTTTTTGTCATTAGTAAAAACTTTTAAAGTATAAAATAAAATCCTCAAATGAAATATAATAAATCTGCTTAAAGAAGTAAAAAACAATTTATAATAAGACAATTAGCAAAAATATTAACTAAAAGCTATTTATCAGAGATACAATCAACATTGTAGTTTCTATTTTATTAAAAATTTCAAAAACAGAGAACGAGAGATTATCTTGGCGATATTTTTAGTCTCATAAAAAAGAGTCAAAGTAAGAATTATTTGGTCTGCTTCTATGAAAGAAAATGGCAGACAGTCAGCTCTTAGAAGAAGTGTATTTAATTTCTTTTTAAATCAAATTATGTGAAAACATCAATTTCTTAATGAAGTTAGGCAAGTATATATAAAACTTATCAAAGAAAAGTATATATATTTTAACAGATTTTATTTCTACTCCAAAAATACAGGAATTTTGAAAGTACATTATATTTAATATGTGTATAGTAAAAGACTATATTATGGAACATAATACGGATGAAGTTGAATGTATTGAAAAAAAATATAATAACCAATTATTATAATTATACTATAATTTATATTATATATTAACTTACTTTTTATTATTCAATGATTTTCTTTTGTTTGTTTTAGATTATTTGTGTTTATTTTGTTATTTTATGTTTTAAATATTAATAAAAACAGTCAGAAGATGAAACATCAGAAACACTACACAAACATTAAAATGAATAAAGGTATTGAGTCATTAGTTATTGTCATGTCTTTTTATGATATTGCATTTATTTAAAGTATTTTATTCAATATTACCAGAATAGTATTGATTATTATTTATTATAGACTATCATTTAGTATAATAAAAGAGTGTATTTTTGTAAAGACAGTAGTATTTTTACTTATTATAATTTAATTGCATTTTATAATATGAAGTAGTATCAAAGAAAAAGATGTACGTGTTGTTGATAAAGGAAAATTAACCATAATAATATTGAAGTAATGATATGCTCTTTCCTCTGAAAACAAGAATGAAAAGAGTAAGGAAATGAAAATCACAATCACACTTCTCAACAATGAAAAACAAAAGAATAAGTAGAAAATTGATGAAGAAGTAATCTTAAAACAAAAAAATAAGATTAATCCCTAATGAGCAAAGGGCAATAGAAGGGAAATATAATCATACTTAATTAACTACTTTTTATTTGTTGACTGTTCTTCATATAAATATTCTTTGAATAGAAAATAAAGAAATATTCAATGCCTTGAAATATGAAATAGTCAATAAAAGTGAATATTTCCTAAAAGACGAGTCATTTGTATAAAAGATAAAACAAACAGAAATAATAAATGATATGAAAAATGATAAAAAGATAATTCTGATATTTAACCATAAAAAAAAGGAAATGGATAAAATTTACCAAGAAACTTCAAATAGTAATAACAATAAATAGATTTGTTAATAAAGGAATTGGTAAGAATGTTGAAAGAACAAAATATTATAGTTGCTAAAGAAATAATGGTAAAAGATATAACGATTAATAATATGAAATAAGTAATGAAATAATGTGGAGACAATAGAGAGGTATAGAAGTATCTCATGAACAATACACTCAATGGAGAGTGTAGGAAATAATCTCACCTGAGTGAAGTGAAATAGAAAAAATTAATATAAGAGACTTTATTAATTCTAATTTAATTATGTTATTATACGTATCTATTTAATAAAGAGAAGAAATATCAAGTTTGAATTTATTTAATTATTCTATATAATCAATAAATTCAAACTCAAATTGCTCTCACTTTCGTTAGTAGAAATGATATTCAAGATATCATATCTTCGCCGGAAGTGAATAAAGATTAAAAGTTTCGTAATAATTAGATTTAGTTATATTATAATAATAAAATAT